ATTATTTCTTGAAGTTTTTGCAGAATTTTCTTCGCATTGAGAAGAAAAATCATGACAGTTTTAAAGAATTGCCGTTGAGTAGTTTTCCATTTAAAAAATAAAGTATGACAGGAAGTCTGCGACGTCGCAAACCGAGTTATGTGATTGCCGACTTGCACCGTCGATATGTGCTTTGGGAGTTTCACCGTCGCACAGTGGATCGAGTCAATGGGAGAGGTAGGAAAAAATTTGGAAACTTTAAAAGCTTATAACTCCGTCCATACAAAACTTTGAGGGTTTAAAAAGGCGGTTCCATTGGTTTCCTCGGAAAATTTTCTTTTAAAAGCACCCCTTAAAATTTAAAACGTGACGAATTAAACATCATAATTTGAAGTTTTGGTTTAAAATTTCACGTCCGAACTCTCTGATTGACTCGATCCACTGTGCGTCGATATTTGTTCTGCTATCAAAACTGCATCACTGCTGTAAATACAAGAGAGAAAATGAAGAGGAAAAAGCGAAAAGAAAGAAAAATCAAGAAAAAAAGATGAACTTCATAGTATGTGTGTTTTCAATTTTTCGGGTTATTTTCCCACCTTCACTTATTTTGTAAATTAAAGAACTTTGGCTGTCTCAGAATAAACCCCATAAGAAAATTATTAGAGGTACAATTCGACCGCGTTGAGTAGAAAGGAACCTAGCCGCATCAGTTATTGCCAAACATAATTATTTACATGAAAACGGTTGGACAGATTTTCGGGAAATTTCAGTGATTTTTTTCATTTAACAAAGCAAATTCTCTAAAATGTTGAAAGGAATCTGCACAACCGTCCTCTTGTAAAGAATTAAATTGCTTGATTAAATTTTTGATTAAATTTTTTTTTAAAGTTAATGTGGCTTGGTTCCTTCCTGCTGAACGCGGTCCAAATTTGTATTCAAAATTTTTAGGGTCATTTTCCCACAAACTCTAATTTTTTAAATTTAAGTGATTCCGGGTTTCTCGCAATAAACGCGGTAAGAAAATAATTAGAAAGCCACTTTTTCTCCGTGTAACTGATTCCAATACGTCGTTCCCCGGACGAAGAAACGTAACGCCATTCCAGGGTTGCAAAATTTACCTAAACAATTCAATTTTCCACAAGAATACACCCATGCGATTTTCGTCCAAATTGTTTCTAATTTTCGCGTGATATCTAAAGACAAATCAGCGGAATTCTCAGTTAGAAATGCCCAAGATTTTCCCGTTAAAAACGCAATTTGTGAGGAGAAATTCGGCAACATTGAATTTTAGTTACGTTCTTTCGCGAAGGGAAGGACGACTACTGCGGTTCTAAAGAAGAGCGTCGTATGAACATTCAAGAGTTGCCAGATTCCCTCCAGTAAAATTTTATCTTTACGGAAATTTATGAGTATCTTTCCTCGACATTTTCAGGAACTTGAAGTGAAACAACAAACTAAATTATCCGAAAAATTAGAAAAAAGATATTCCTAGGTAAGTCTTACTCTGCCGTGCCAAGGAAGAACGCTGTATGAACATTCGAGAGTTGCCAAATTCCCTTTATTAAAATGTTGATTTCTGAGAAAAAGTATGAATGTCTTTCCTTGAAATTTTCAGGAACTTGAAGTGAAATAGCAAACTAAATTATCCGAAAAATCAGAGGAAAGATATTCCTAGGTTTTCTCGAAAATTCACGTTTTATCAAAAGAAATTTGGCAACGCTTGAAGGTTCATACGGCGTTTTTCCTCAGCCCGGCGGAATAGTGTCGAGCGACGACGAGACGGCAACAGCGCATCGTTGAGCTGATTCAATAAGGCCGGCAAGAGAGCGCGTTGAAAGGCGAATTAGATGATGTAAAAATGATTAAACGATTTAATCATTTCAATTAAACGCAGTGCGGGAATGGAGTCAAGATGTGTCCTCTTAATCGCAGCATTTTAAGGGTTGCCCGGAGGATCGGGACTTGTGCGTGCGGATGGGATGCGACGCGGGATGGGAACGGGACGAGGGACACAAGGCTTTGATCCAGTCCGGGGAGGAGGAGGGGGGGAGGGGGAGGGGGTTCAGCATCATCGGTGGCTGCTCAGGGCTCAGTTCATCTCAGTCCTCTCGACGATCGGCCACGTAGAAAGTTCGCTCGCTTCCGCGTCTACTTGCGATTTTTCCCCGCTTTTCACGAGCTTTTCCGCGCTCGGTTCCGGTAGCCGGGGATCACCCACCCACGCTCACCCCTCCCCCCTCGGACGAGTGTTTTTTCGCGCCACCTGTTGATCCGCAAGATGAGATCGAAAAAGAAAAAAATCCCTCACACCCTCCTTTTAAAACACTTTTCGTCGCCTTGTTCACGTTGCCAGTAAGATTTCTCAGTTTAGTGCGTGCATCGAACTACGATATTTGTGTGTCGTGACTTATATATTTAAAAAAAAAAAAAAAAAATTGTGAAAACAGCGAGAATTTTTTTCCGTTTGATCTCGAGTGATTTTGGATCCTAGTTTCTTGTAAATTGGTGACTTTTTTTAAATTTAATTTTCGAATTTTCATCCCAGTGTTTCGGTGCATTTCTCAGGAAGATGAGAATAACAACCAATCTTAGCTGCTACTATTTTTCATCTGTTCTACTTTTATTATGTTTTCACCCGACGAAAGCGGCCAGGAAAAATGCCAAATCCCAGTTCACCATCGAATACTTAACGCAGAGGAAGTTTCCCTACGCCATATCAGATGACATTTACTTAGACCCTTGCAAAGCTTGTAAGTAAATCTCCTCATTCTATAAAATGCCTTGTGCCCTCAAAGGGTATTTCTTAGGTATACTTACGCGGGTTCATCGAGAGATTATTGCCTAATGTTAGCCAGGAGGGCCATAATAATCAGTCTGGTAGATCTCTACGAAGAGTTATGAAAAAAAAAAAAAATAAAAGTTTGTATGGTTTAAATGGGGAAGTTTACAATTTCATCGCTTGTTAAAGAAGAACCTGGGTCATATTTCCAAACTTTAAAGAGAGTGGGCTCATTTAGAGATCATTGTCTGTCGATGATCGCAAAAATATGGAATATGGCACAGTAGATCTTCAGGACAAACTACTTCAAAAAATGAAAAGTTTGGTGGGAGGTTTTATGTGGAACGCAGTTTACCGCTATGGCGCGGTTCTATGGTATCCTTCGGGATCTTCATGTGAACACCGATCGAAAGACACCTGATAAACGGAGGACCTTTAACCTGAAAGGTACTGTACCCAGTACCCTCCACCATTTGGTAAAATGCGGACTTGCGGACATAGGATTAACCGAAAAACGCAGAACCGTATATTACCGGTGTTGCGGTTGCGTCTTGTAACGTAGGACCCCATCAGCGGTCTTGTGTTTCTTTACTCAGGTCGTACTTCCGCACCAAATTAGGCCAAATTGACTTCACTGTATCAAATTTTCAGAACTTTTCAGTCATTTTCGGGGCTTGAAACAAAAAACATAAGAAAAGTCATAAAAATCGGCACATTTTTAACCAAAAACCCAAAAATTAAGGCCATCGTGGGAGTCTAAACAGATTGGTTGTAATTTTTCTCGTTGAACTCCTTTCATAATGCATCTTAGTACGTAAAAAACCACTGTGTTATAATGGCTTTCGGGATATCGTCCGGATTTAACGACCCTAGGGTACACCCCCTGGCCGCTACGGTTCCCAATTCCCTGAGGGCGCTTCGCACCTTAGGGCGTGAGTTAATCTAAACAGAGCAGACTCGTCGAGAGACTGTTTCATATCGACAGTTGCAAATTATGAAACTTGGCCTGGTAGATTTTTAGAACGAACCGTGACAAAAAATGGACATTTACCTTGTCTAACTGGAATAATTCACACCTGTAACTTTATATACAAATTTACCTGGATCATATCACCGAAATCTGAATGGGTCGGGCTCATCTAGAGACTGTCACTAACTTGTCGATAGCCAAAATAATCATGTATAGAAATCGGCCCAGAGGAACGGTAGAATGAATCATGACAAAGAAAATTTAGGGGGTAAGAGAGCTCATAGTAGATGGGTGTCAATGATAGTAGTGACAGTAATGATACCACCGTACATTATAGACTTCTTTCTTTCTTTTTTTGCATTATCCAAGGAAATCGTGAACAAGATGTTATTCCTCACAGAATTTCGAAAAGTGTCATTTAAAAAAAAATATAACATTCTGATGGACAGAATTAAATGACGATAAATGAATGGGTCCAAAGAAACCCAAAGATAACGAAATATAGGTACTAGATCGAAAACAAAAATCGGGAGTCAGCAGGTGAAAAATGATGTAATGAAAAGGACGCCACATGAGCATAGCGAACATCTAGTTCACAACCCATGCTATTGTTTGACCAAAGTGAAAGACAAGAAAACATCCAACTCGGCCGCAAAGAATAATGGCAGCCCTCCTTTAAAATCCAGTCTAACCAATAATTTTCGACCGTAGCACCGGCGAAATTGAAGATCCCGATAATAATCCTCTTTGCAGTCAAACGCCCCCGGATTTTGATATGGAGTCACGACCCATAATGTGTACGTACTTACTTCTTTATAAGAGCCAACAACCGTTTTCCGCTTTAATGATTAAATTACAAAGCGCTAACTTTTTATTACCTACTATGCGGAGTAAAAGAAGGCAGAGCTCTGGACTGCATTGGAAAAATAGAGGAACAGCATTTTTTTAACTCAGAAAATACCAATGGGCTGGTAGATAAATAATGAATTGGATGCATTATTGCTACATGGAACTATGTGCTGAGGGTTTGAACACAATATAGTTCCCTTTAACATTGAGAAATCCAATTAAAGCGATAAAATTAATCTTGCTCTTTAAATTTTCTCGTGAGCATGAGTTCCGTGAGCGCAATTTTGGTGATCAACACGTAAGCAAGATTAAAATTACTCCAATTCCAACGGAAGTGGGTGGTTTTACCCTATTTCTGGTGTTTGCAATTATTGTTATTGTAGCTTAATCGCGCGCATATGCTTCTTATTCGATTACGTCTGCTTGAAATTAGCCCAATAATGAAAGACAAAATTAGGTCGCAAGTCTTTTGTTCAATCAATTTTAAAAATGTATATAGTCGAAATCGAAATGTAGAGCTAAAATAATTTCAAAATCATTCGCTGTTTCATATCCTTCTCTATGTGCTCAATGTTTTAGTGCGTCGTTGCTTAAGTTGTTTCCAACAAGGTGGTAAAATAGTGCTGGGTCTACACTATTTTGTGGGGGAATCAAGGCTTTGTTGACATCAGTTCACCGATTTAATGCTTGATACGAATAAACGTGACCATATCACTGCAAGCAACTATTACTGCTCCTAAGCCGCTCACATTGCCTACTTTAGAATTGAAGGCGAACTGGTTAGAATGAGCGCACAACTATACACTGTTGATAGTTCTTCACAAATACAATGTTTAATGCGAATGAGCGTGGTTACATTAGTGCGCGTCCAAGATTTCCGCGCTCACCTAGTTCCACCAAAGAACACCAAAAAATCACCATAGATAGCGTTTGCTGGTTAACTTGAATTAAAACTTAATCGCTGATACGACAATTTTTAGACATAAGAATGAAGTATTATAATAGCGTATTTTTTCTTCCTTCCTTCCTTTTTTAAGTACCGATTTTGAAAGTCATCCGGGAAAGTCCCCTTAGCGGTAGAGAGTTTTACGGTTAGCAGTAAAAGTCATTCGGTAGGGTCGCCTCAGCAGAGCTCAGAGGATTTTTTGGTCAGACTTTTAGCATGGACCAATGACAGTTTACCTGAAGGTACGGAACCGACGGATAAAGTTTCATTTGACGCCGCGCCGTACAGCATCGCCTAAAACATAATTTTAACTCAATTGTTTTACTTTCAAAATTTACAAGATTTTTTTTTTTAAAAAAAAAATTATAACTTTTCGCTATACCTACCTATTCTAGTTTCATGGGGCGATCTATATTCAGATGGGGAGATCGAGATACGATATCTTTTAATGTTCCGTCAAATGAACCACTAGACAGGGCACAAAATGAAGATACAGCCTAATTAAAATTTCACGTAGAGCACTATTTTCGCCGCGAAAATTACTGAAATCAACACCTAACAAAGATATATTTCATGTTTTTTGACACGTGAATTCAAACCTCCCGCTCATGAAAACTAAATGGTCTACGTAAGTATCGCACACTAAACGTTACCATGACAGTCTTTACGATGTAAAAATCTGGCAGCCTCAATCTTGACGCTTTGGCTCAGCAATATACCAAGATATATCGACGGTGAAAGTCGGCAATCACATAACTCGATTTGCGACGTCGCAGACTTCCTGTCATACTTTATTCTTTAAACGGAAAACTACTCAACGGTAATTCCTTAAAACTACCGTGATTTTTCTTCTATGTGCGAGGAAAATTCTGCAAAAACTGCAAGGAATCATGTCCATTAAATTTGTTCTCCTTTAAAAAAATAACATAGTTGCGGAGATTTTCAGACACCGCAAACGAGTTATGTGATTGCCGACTTGCACTGTCGATATATAGTTTGAACTATAGAGGGTGAGAAATGAAAATTGTTCGATCAATAAGAAGCCTGTCGAAACCTTTGTGGTACGCGATTCGACTCAGTTGCATGGAGTATTGAGTTTCTAGTGACCGGGCAATTCAAAATTCCCCTGACCAATTTAACATAAAAACATTGATATTTCAGTTAGGAGTTGATTTCAGTAATTTTGGATGCAAGAATCTCGCTCTACGTGAAATTCTGGTAAAGAGACGTGACGTGTATCAGAATGCTTCGGTTCGTACCTTGCATGTCTAGTGGTCCATTGCCTTGGACCCTTACTGTAAGGCCGAATAAAATCGCAAAGTAGCGAATTGTAAATGATATATTTTAATTATTCAAATGTTTCTGGACGACATGCCGGGTTTCCGATGCATGCCGTCCCTTGGCGCTGTGGCAGCGGGCGCGGGCGGTAGGGCAAACGGACACCCTCCTGGGTGGCCAGCGCGCCAAGGCACGGCCGGCGGGGGTCTGATGAACACCGGATATCTCGTTGAATGGCGTTTACACATCGCGCCTCCATTCACTCAATTACCCACACATTAAGCAGTACTTTGCATCTTCATAATCCCATCCCATCGTCCCAACAAAGATATCCAATTTCACCCAGGGACAGGGACCCTTCGTGCAGCTTATTAGAAATTTCATAAATACAATAGAATCGCGAGAATTAAGGCTAAAAATGATGAGGATTGCATCCGAAACTCTCCAGCCGACCACTCATAAATTCTCAATCGGACGACTTTTCCCCCTTTCCCTTAAAAAAAAAAAAAAAAAAAAAAAAAAAAAAAAAAAAAAAAAACCAACAACAACATTATTTATCGACGTTCTAAGCAAAATGACAATTTTCTGAAATAAATTACAATATTATAAAAGAAATGTGATATTTTAAAAGAAATTACAAAATTCCAAAAAAAAAAAATTACAGTTTCCAAAAGAAATTACAATGTAATCGGACGAATACAAAGAAAAACTAAAATTTGAAAATCTGGTGTGACCGGGGATCAGAGAGAAGACCTGCGTCTCGTCTTTCGAGCGCTGAAGTGTGTAAATAAAATTAGGACGTTTTGATTTCAGATACTGAGAATCAAAAAACACGTGTATCTAAAGATACACATTCAAAAAGGATGTGTTCGGAAGAGGTTCTCGTAATCGCTGACCCTTCCTTGCAAACCAATGAGAGCACATAACC